TTCCTGGTTTCCCTGGTCTATTTGAATCGCATGCGAGTGACAAACAACAGCTTCTTTGAAACGGCCGATCCCAGCGAGTTGTACCTCTCGGCCCTCGTTATCGCTGGTAAATATCTACATGTAAGTTATCTTTCGAAGCATTGTGTAAGAAGAATTGAATTTGCTTCTCTTATTTGCTTACCTCATACGACAAGTCTGAATATCTTGAAGATTTTCGGGCTTTTATGAAATCCAGAATTACCTTATTTGTTTTTTGCGAAAATGTGCATTGAAATTAAAAATTAGCTGTTGGCGTTTCATTTTGGAATTTTTTAGTTTCGAAATAGAAGAATAGCAGACACAGTCTGTGTTTCATCCCCTAGCTGTATACACAGACCGAACAAATCGCGTCACGTTTTATCAGCACAGGGCCAGTATTTTATTTACCGCGGGTCTAGGAAATGCCATTGTTGTCAGATGCTTGAGGATTTTTGCTCAGTTTGTCTGCTATGTTTTCATCTTCAGGATGAGGGACAGAGTGATTTTGTTTACAACGATGAATGGGCGAACTCGGCCAGAATTTCCCTGAAGCGACTTAACTTGCTGGAATTGAATGTGCTGGATGCATTGGTAGGCGATAGGCATTGCTTTCTGTTGAGTGCAGTCAGTGATTTCGTCTTCATTATCGCTTTTTATTATCATTTTTTCACCAAAGTTTCAAATCGGTTAGCAGCAGTTTCAAATGAGCTCTTTGCAACGAATTGCAGTGTTTAAGCAGTGGGACATCTACGTGAATAACGAGGAATTTATGCGGCTGGTCGAATATGTGGAAACTTGGGTGGCCAAGGACAGTCTGGTGAAGCGCGGTTTCTCTACTTACAATGAAATGGCTGTTCTCGGCTCAAACATCGATTTCATGGAGAGTTGTATCAAACCGCTTTTATCATCGCTGGTTGCCCTCATCGTGGTTTATCTTGCTGCAGTTTCATCGCTTTTAATGGCACAACATATGGTGGTTTTATTGGACAACCATCGTAAGTATTTTCATTTCATGTTGTTACGGTGTCCAGCATCTGTGAAATTGGTCTGGAACTAAAGCTGTGGTTGCTGCTGAAAACTTTGATAATGATTTTGCAAACTTTCAGGCGGTTTTGTGGATCGTGGATCGCCTACTGCGTTCAGCATTGGACGCTGGACTAGACAGCTGAAAGCGACGTTTTCGTTTTTATTCATGAATTGTTATCATGATCTTCAGCATATACCTGAAATACCATTAAATTCGCAGGTTATGTACGACATTCTTCTCAATCAAACGGTATTTTCCTTGCCTGTCTGGTGCTCACACGTTTACGGTGATAGTTCGCACGGCCTTCCTGTTTTCGACTGTCATTATAATTATGCTTTGAATGTATGAATCTTGAATCCTGGTTATGTGCAATATTTAATTTTTTACTATTCTCAGTTTTTTCCGGTTTTTATATCGTTTTTAAGTTTTTCAGGGGGTCTAGGGGTTTTTGATTTGATAGCCTCTTATCTTTTTTTTATCGAGAGAATTCAAACGGAGAGTCCGGTCAGTGCGAAACTCGGACCCTTTGGCATATGCTCCCACACTGTACAGTTTAAAGCGTTTGCAGAAGTTCTTTGTATCTTTTTTTCGGATTCTACGAATTTTTTTTTTTAAGTTAGTGAAGTAATTTTCACAAATCTTGTTGATAAAAATACGCACAAGCCATCAA